TCTGAGGAAAGCACCCAGCACGCGCGCGCGCGCGCACACACACACACACGTTCACTCCTAGGCGTGGCCTCTGCCTGTCCTCCCTCACCTCCTGTCTTCCTTGGCCGCCTGAGGAAACCAGGGCAGGGTTTCTGATGCTCTTAGTGACTGGCAGGGCTTAGTCTTTCTCACTCTCTGAAACAGTAGACACTGTGCTGGAAGCCTCGGGGACAGTGTCTAGGAGAGCAGGTTCATTGAGTGAGCACTTTACCTCTGATCATTTGGATGCACTTTGCCTTGCATTTGAGACAGTAAGGAACAAAGCAGATCCACCTGACCGGATGCAGTTGATCAAGTTCTAATGCCCTAAAGTTTGAAGGATTCTTAGAAAGAGCCTTCCATCCAGCATGGAGTTTCTGCCTCACACCGTTAGCAATGTTCCCTCTGGTCTGCCCCCTCCATGCTCTTCTGGGTCAGGAGTCCCACTTGTTTCTCCCACAGATCGCGAGTGCGACGACTGCCCCATCAATCCCATCACACTTGTCTCCCGGGTTACGCGATGTGGCTCTTCGCTGCTTAGAACTTCAACCTCAGGACAGACCTCCGTCAAGGGAGCTGCTAAAGCATCCCGTCTTCCGCACCACGTGGTAGCCAGCTGTGCAGATGGACGCACAGAGACGGATGCTCAGTGAGAGAAGCACGTCAGTGGGAACCATGGTGATAATCCGCTGGCCTTCCTGCCATTGAACAGCTATGAACGCGCCCCATGGCGAGCCCTTACCTAAGTATGTGATTGACAAATCATGTCTGTACCTAAGCTGAGTCTGCACCTGTGCCGAACTGCAAACCGTGCCTTTCAGGGACTGGCCCTTGGCGACAGGACAGCAAGGAGTTTGCATGACTAAGTAACAGAAGCATAGTTTTATGATTATTTCCTCGGAGCACTTTTTCAGCAATATTAGCAGCTGAGGGGCTCAGGATCTATTTTACTGTCTCAACTACTCTTCCATTTTGTATTGCAATCATAAGCAGGGGTCTGTTTTCATGCAGTTTTTTGTCACTGGCTATATAAATCAGTATCTGCCTCTTTTTAGGTCAGACTATGCTATAATTAGCAGTAAAGAAATATATTTTTTAAAGTTGATAACTTCTTTATGACCCACAGTTGACCTCTATTTTTTTAAAAGCCTGGACAATTGTGGCTCATTGTGCATTTTACTGTTGGCCCATTCATTTCGTTTTTGGAAATTATGGTTCTACGTTTTCATTTCATCTTCATTTTTTGTTTAATATTCAGGGAAAGGTGATCTTTTCAATCCAGAAAAAAAAAAAAAAAAGAACTAAGTGTGAACTAGAGTTTGTTGAATATCTTGCTGTGGCAAGAGTTTTTTAATACAGAATTTTGTTTTTTTTTAATTGGGTTTTACTACCTTCATTGAGTCAGTCACTGCTCTCTGGTGCAGGCTAAACGTAAATTCAGAGAAAAGCAACTGTTCTCAGTGAAGCAGCGAGCCAAGATCAAGGTTACCTTGGAATCTGAGTTTCTGTAATTGGTTTCATTTGTAGGAAGTTCACCATCTAAGTCTCACTCGTGTGGAAGTCGCCACCGCTGTGAGCGAGGAGCTGCTGTTTTCCTTCTCTTCACAGGTGGCCCTGGTGGAGAATGAAAGAAAAATTAACTTCATTCCTCAACCACCAATGAGTGATAGTGTTTTTAAACTAGAAGTTTGCTTTGAACTTGGAAAATGTCCTCATAGAAAAGTGAACTGAATTTCCATTACAAACTAATTCACTGGATCCTGCACAATTATCTAATGGTTTTTGTCTCAGTTTAATTCAAATCCTGAAGGAAAATGGCAGCTCTTTATCCTTTTTTTGTGAATCTCTAAATCAAGTACTGATTAAGTTTTAACTCTTCAGAAGCCAGTTTCATGGTGGGATGATAGAATTGGTTATTCTCAAAGACTCAGGATAAACTAAATAAGCTACACAGATTGCATTTTAAATGTACATCACAAATTGGAAGTCACAAATAACTTATCAGGTAAGTTTGCAGGGATATATTGCATATAATTTTTAAAAGGCAGTTTTTAAAATGTGAATGTGTTTCTTAGTGAAATTTTACAATCCTTTGTTTTGGAAGATTGGCAATATTTGAAGAGTTAAAAATAGTACCGAAATGTGAAGTTTGGTAGCTCTAAATGTGTTGTACTTGACTTTCTTTTTTATTCCTCTTTTTTGACTACTTGGCATTTTCGCAGTCTAATGAGATTGTTTCGAGTCCCACGTGCAGGCTTTAAAGGATGCACTCTTGCCATTTTATTACTGGAAGATCACTGGTCAGACGAATCTGGTCTGACAGCAACCGTAAACTGTGTACACTGAGGAACCGCAGCGCATCAGTATTACTCTGCAGATCACCATGCCGCCAGAGTGCAAGCTCAGACAGCGCGGCATGTCGAAGCCCATTGTTTGAGTGTGTGTGCAGTTCCCTCAGCTTGCTGGTAATTGTGGTGTTTTGTTTTTGTTTTGTTTTCAATGCAAATGTGATGTAATGTTCTTATTTTCTTTGGATCAAAGCTGGACTGAAAATTGTATTGTGTAATTACTTTTGTTCTTAATGTTATGTGGTACTCAAGTTGTAAATAACGTCTACTGCTGTGTATTCCAGTTTCTACTACCTCAGGTGTCCTATAGATTTTTCTTCTACCAAAGTTCACTTTCACAATGAAATTATATTTGCTGTGTGACTATGATTCCTAAGACTTCCAGGGCTTAAGGGCTAACTTCTATTAGCACCTTACTGTGTAAAGCAAATGTTACAAAAAATCTCTGGGTTAAGAAAATTTGGCTTAAATGTATCCTTTGTTATTTTAAATATATCAAGATATTTTAATTAAAATTTTTACCCCATCGAACCAATTTTATAGTATTTGTACCTATTTTGGTGTTTTGTCTTTATAGTAAATAAAAGTTTTTGAACAAAAGTTGTTACTCTTACTTTGAAATAATTTCATACTTATAAGATTGTGAGAACACCACAAAGAACTCTCATCTACCCAGAAGTCCTCCTTGGGTTGTGCCAGTTGCCATTAAGTCCTTGAGAGCAAGAGGAGCCAAAACAAGATCTCGTACTGCTCTTAGGTGTCCTGTTTCTTCAGCCTCATTCTGTCCAGAACTATTCCTGAGTTCTCCCTGACCATGGACTTTATATACATCTCGTAAATATCTCCCAGTTCTAGACACCATAGGTCAAATTCAATCAGTTCTATTCTCCATAGACTATGGCATTTAAAAAAAAACAAAAAAACTTTTTTTAATATGGCATCTTTTTAAAAGCAGGACATCTGCCCTCCTTGTTCCGCTTGTGGGGAGAATGAAGGCTCCCTCACGCCGTGCCAGGCACACTGGAGCACACTGACTGCTCCATCTGACCAAAGAGATGATTTTGTTCCTGCTGCAGGTCCGGCTCACATGAATCAGAATCAGAAACACACCGATCCGACCCTGCGCAGCAAGAGGCATCACCGAGTAGCTGAGCTCACCAGCCATTCCGCGAATTTAGGTTAAGTTTCTGTATAAAGGGCACATGTTCGTCATTTTAGGAATATATTAACTGCAGGCCACATAGACTTGAACAAGGTTGGGTCTCATGCCCACACAAAAGTGCCAATGAGTGTGTCTGGGAACCGGTGCAGCAATCCTCCTGTACAGAGTAATTGCACCAACGCTGCCGCCAGGGAACGAGTGACCAACAGAAACAGAATGGCAGTCTTCCTATGTCAGGACAGCTTTATAGGTTCACGTCATGATGACTGGACATTAAGGGAGGTACTGACAGACCTGGTGGCCACCGAGCCTCAGACATGACCTGGGTTGAATCTGGCTCTGCCACTTGCCAGCCATGTAACCAACCCGTGGCTTCTGGAACCTCCCTTTCTGCATCTGCCAGAGGAAAGGGACGCATTGGGAGAAGAGACCTGATGTGTATGGCCAGGCCCAGCACACTGGGTGCTCAGTCCCTGCGTGTGTGGAGTGTGTGACCAGCAGGGGGCAGACTCAGCCTCTGGGGCTAGCATGCCTTCCAGGGGCTGATGCTGCCAGGTGTTGGGTGTTCCTTGCCAATTTGTGTCTAAGGGGCCGGGGTGTCCATGTTGGAAGCGGGGAGGGGGAGAAAGGGAGCCGTGTTCCAAAGCCTCCATATTTCCAAAAGCAGCTGGAAATCGAGATTTTACTTGCTATTTCCTGACGTGTAAACACCGGGAACGAACTTACTGTGAACCACAGCACTAAGTCACTCATACGCTGGATCTGGCCTCTTTTTTACCTCTGACCTGGGTCCCGGCACGCAGAAATAAGCAGAGAACTGGAGGGAACCTCGGCTTTGGGAGCCTGTTTCTCCTCAGAGAAATGGATGACTGAGAGGAGGGCGGGAGGCGCTGGCAGACACCGGAGCGCGGGCCTCTGAGAACGTCTCGTCGCCACGAACGCCGGGCGGCCGGCGGGGCGTCCGCAGCGTGAAGGGCCGCCCGCGTGGGCGGGAGCCCGGTCGTCCCGCCGCAGGTGCTCTCCGCGGCCTGCGACCCCGCCGCCCCGCCCCGCCCTCCGGGTGAGCGGGGAGCGCGGTCTGCGGGCCCGCGGTCCTTCCTCCCGGGCCGGGTCCGTGCTTCTGGGCGCGCTTTCCCTCAGGGCCGGGTGCTCGGCGCGCTTCCTCCATGGGGAGGCGGGAGGTGACACGGAGGCGGCGGGGGCGAGGCGGCGGGGCCCGACACTCACCAGGGCCTCGCCTGACGGGCCAGCCGAAGGCCGGGCAGCCCGGGCGGCTCCGGTGCGGAATTAGACCGAGTGGCTCCGGGCCGGTGCCCGCGAGGAGACGGCCCCTCCCACCGCCGCCTCCAAAGGGCCACAGGCTGGAGACCGCCGTCCAGAACCGCCCGCCAGCCGGGCCGAGGGCGGGACTCAGCGCCTCAGCCCCTCCCCTCCGGGCGCGCCCACGTCCGTCCGGGCGCCGCGGGGCCGCCATGCCCGGCCGCCTGCTGCGGGGCCTGCGGCAGTGGTGGCGCAGCTACCGGTACCGCTTCGTACCTTGGATCGCGCTGAACATCAACCACAACCCCAGGTGAGCGGACGAGGCGGCCCGCGGCGGGCTCTCCCTCCCGCTCCGAGGCGCCGCCACGGCCGCGTCCCCTGAGGCCCGCGGGCCCGGGGTGGGCGGAGCCTCACGCAGGAAGAGCTTCCGGTGGCCGCAGGCTTCGTGGTGGGCGGGGCCTTATGTGGGCGGGGCTTCGAGGAGGAGGAGCTTCCGGCGGCCGGTGGGTCTGTGACACCACAAGCTCCTGGTGGGCGGAGCCCGATGTGGGCGGGGCTAGGACTGAGAACGCCGGTGCCAGTGGGCTGGGGCCGCACGGGGCGTGCGGCTTTGGGTGGGCGGGGCCTGAGGCCTATTTCCCATCGTACCCCGCGCTGCCAGGTCGCCCGGTAGGGGTCGCCCGCGGGCGGTGTCGCTGTTGTCCCTCGCCTTTGGCGCGGGCTGGCTTGCCTGGGTCTGGACAGAATATAGACACTTTTGGGAAAAAGGAAACGCCTGCAGCGTGAGGGTGCGCAGCCCTCCTCCCCCCGAGGTGTCGTTAGGAGCGGGAGCGCCTAGGGGGAGCCACGCCGAGTCGTTTACGGTGCGCGAATGGCTCGGAGTGGCGGGTGCTTAAAAAGGAGCCGAAAGACCTGAAACAGCAGGCGTGTGGGGCTCAAACCCGGAGCCGGCAGGAAAACGGGTGCCGCGGGCGGGGTGACGCTTCGCTAAGTGGAAAGCGAGGGATGGAACCGGCCCCCGGGGAGCCCACGAAAGCGGCTGGTAACCAGTCTTCAGTCCAGAAGTAAGAATAAACCTGTTCCGGAGACGGAAGGGAGGCTGTCACCGAGGGGCGCTCACTCCCCTCCCGCGGGGAGTGTGGCCGCAGAAGGGGGCACCTCAAGTTCGTGCGGGAGCCTCGCCCGGAGAGCGGTCACGTGAAGCGCTCGGCGGCGGGCGGTCACGTGACGGCTTGCGGGAGGCCCTCCCGCCCCGCCCGCCGGCGCCTCAGGGCCCAGCCCCGCCTCCGGGTCCGGGAAGCCGGGAGAGGAGCGAGGGGGCCGGCAGCGCTCGGGCCAGGCCAGGCCCCTCCTGAGGCCGCCGCTCGGGACGGGCCGGCTTGGGAAGCCAGTAACTCTCCCCAGAGAGCCTCTGGCGTCCTCCGCTCCGCCCTCCGAGGCCGGGGCCGGCTCGGCCGCCTCTGAGCAGCCTCTCCTCCCCCAGGACCCGCCGGGACGTCCCGGGGAAGCGCGAAGACAAAGTGCTCGCGGACGCCGAGGTCCTGGCGGCGCTGCTGCGCGTCTTCCGGGCGCTGCTCGCCCACGACCTGCCCCGCCAGCGGGAGGTGCTGGCGGCGCTCCCGGAACCGGTCCGGTCCGCGTACCGACACCTGCTGCCGGCCCCGCCGCACGCCCGGAGCCCGGAAGACGTTCTCCTCCAGACGCTGGGCTTCAGCGTCGCCCGCGCCGCCAGCTCGCTGGTGTCCGCCGGAAGGGGCGTCTTCGTCACCAGGGGGCTGGCACCCAGGGGCGCCGTGGTCTCCATGTACCCCGGTAACGCACCGCTCGCCCCCGGCCGGGACGCTCCCATAAACATACGCCCCAAAACACAGCCGGCCTGCAACCCGCACCGCGAGAATCTGCCTTGGAAACTCGGGTTTCCACGGGTTTTTGAATCCCGGTTTGGCAATTAGCTGCTAGTAACTCACCTTACTTTAGAAAGTACCCATGCGTACTTGTGGGGTACACGCACTCTTAAGGATATTTTCCTACTCAATGTTTACATTTAGGAGATTATGGCATGGCCTCCTCTGATCAAACTTCAGACGTGTTACTTAGCGTCAGAGGGTCAGTCAGTTTGGTTTAGATAAATGTAAAACTGAAAGGAGTTGGACATGGGAGATAGAACTTAAGTCACTCAATAGCCCCGGCTGGTTTTGCTCAGTGAATAGGGCGTCAGTCTGCAGAATGAAGGGTCCCCGGTTCCATTCCGGTCAGAGCATATGTCGAGTTTGTGAGCTCCATCCCCCGTGAGGGGCATGCAGGAGGCAGCCAATCAATGATTCTCATCATTGATGTTTCACTCTCCTCCTTTCCTCTCTGAAATCAATAATAGATACATATTTTAAAACACACACACACACACACACACACACACACACAGCAGCTCTGACTGGGTAGCTCATAGGGTGAGGGTGAGGAATTACTCAGGGTTAGGGTTAGGGTTAGCTAGGGCTGCAGGTGTGATCATACAAGCATAAATGAGTGGAACAGCATATTGATGTCTCTCAAATCAATTAAAACCCCATGATTGTACAACTGAGTCTGAAATGTGTTCACATTTTTATTAACCCAGTCCTATTTCCAGCTGTGTGGGCACGTTGGTTCTGTGCTCTGTCTGCTATTGGGCCCTCTTCAAAGGGTGAAATTGCCAAATAGGGTATGATAGTCTAAGTTGGAGGTAAGAGATCAGAGAAAAGTTTGAGAAAACAAGTTCTTACATGTTATGTATATGTTCCAGAGAAAGGTCCTTATCATGGTGTTAGTAGGTTTTACATGTTGCTGTAATATCCCTTTGTCTTGTTGTTTGACAGGTACAGTATATCAGAAATATGAGCCAGTCTTTTTCCAGTCGATTGGAAATCCATTTATTTTTAGATGCTTGGATGGCGTACTCATTGATGGAAATGACAAGGGAATATCGAAAGTCGTGTACAGGTAAGTTGGTGCCTATCTTTGAATTTCATTATAGGGGACGAAACCACACAGCAATGACAGTGACCAGGAGCCTTGGTTGCCATCTTGATTGAAGTGATCTTGTAAGAGAAACTGCACTTTCTCAGTTGTAGGGTTGGTTTTGTATTTTTGAATTTTTGGATCCAGAAGAACAGTCCCTTGGCTGATGCTCTCACCTGTTTCAGATCTTGCAGTGGAAGGGACCGACTGGGCCCTTTAAGAATGAGTGACAGCACTTGGCTGACATCGGAAATTCAGAACCCTCTGGCGGTAGGCCAGTATGTCAACAACTGTTCCAATGGTAAGTGGGCACCATGGGCTGAGAAAGACAGAAGCGGTACTTCCTTCCTGGGCCACGTGATGGAGAGCCAGAGGCAGAGGAGCTGAGCATGTCAGCTCTTCAGAGCCTTGAGTAAACACACACACACACAGGCATCCCAAAAAAATGTAGATACGCTTTAACAGCTGATTTCCATTACAAGATGAAATGCATTTTATAAACACTGCCCTTATAAATTATTCATTGTGTTTATGCATTTTGTGGGGACACTTTGTATATATGTTTTGTACATATAAAACCCCGCAGTGCCCAGAACATAATAGGGATTATTAACATGCACGTGTTCTCATGGTTTAGAGATCCATACGAGTGTCAGAATTCAGTGCTGTTTTCCGTGGCCTAGTAAGAGGGCTGTTTCTGAAAGTTACACACTCGTTCCTAGACAGACCAGCCAACGTCTGCTATCAGGAGTTCGACGTGCCCCCGAGTTTCCCTGTGGAACTGAAGCAGTACCTCCCCAACACCACCTACAGCTGCGCCCAGCAAAGGTGAGCCTCCTGGAGCCTGCTGCCTTGTCCTGAGCTGCACAAAAAAGCATTTTGTCTAAAAAAAAAAAAAAAAAAAAAAGCTGTATAGAATTTGGGGTTCGTTGTTTCTTTAGTGAAAAATGATAACTTAGATTTTTAAAAAATATATATATATTTTATTGATTTTTTTACAGAGAGGAAGGGAAAAGAATAGAGTTAGAAACATCAATGAGAGAAACATCAATCAGCTGCCTCCAAATGACAGGATTGGACCTAGCTGAAGGGGTCAAATTACACGTGATTTTTTTTTGCTCTTTCCACTAATTAGATTTGGAAACTTGAATGTGAAAAAAGGAGTAGGCCAACTACACTTAAATTAAAAAATAAAATTTTAAAAAATAGTGAAAAAAGGGAAATACTCAGAAGATAACATTTTTATTGTAGCAATTTTCTGTCCATTAAGTCTCCTGAGACTACTCAAGTAAGTTTTCTTTTTTTTCAAGTAAGGTTTTTTTTTGTTTGTTTGTTTGTTTGTTTGTTTTTATTGATTTTTTACAGAGAGGAAGGGAGAGAGATAGAAACATTGATGAGAGAGAGTCATCGATCAGCTGCCTCTTGCACACCCTCCACTGGGGATGTGCCTGCAACCAAGGTACATGCCCTTGACCGAAATCGAACCTGGGACCCTTCAGTCCGCAGGCCAACGCTCTATCTGCTGAGCCAAACCAGCCTCGGCAAGTAACAGTTTTTAATAAATGATTCTGTGGAGTTATCAACAATGTGGTAGGAAAATGTAATCTTTATATCATTTCACTGAGTTGCCAAACTTAATTTTGTATGGGTCCTAATTGTCCTTTTAAAAGGAATGGTACTCAAAACTTAGTAACTTTTCTTCGTGTGTGTGTGTGTGTGTGTGTGTGTGTGTGTGTTGGGTATTTGTGTTTAGTTTCCTTTAACATACTCTGGGACATAATATGTTACTACCCAACCAGTACAGGAAACACTACATGAGTAGGAACATTGAAGATTACACCTCTTGTCCTGGCCAGTGGTTAGAACGCCAGCTGCACACAGGACATTCAGTCTGGGGTTCAATTCCCCATGAAGGACACATACATGGGTTGCAGGTTCAATCCCCAGATCAATAGGACACGTGCAGGAAGCTGCTAGTCCAAGTGTCTCTCACATCAATGTTTTCCCTTTCTCTCCCTCTTCCACTCTCTCTAAAAAAAAAAAAAAAATCATGGAAAAAGGTATCCTCAGGTGAGGATTAACAAAACAAAAAAGATCATGTCTTAGTGTGTCCATAAAAAGTATTTTTTAATCCAATTAATTTCAAGTAATGCTTCTAGCTTTGCAGAATACAAACATACAAATTAATTTTAAAATGCTAAACTTGCCGAAACCGGTTTGGCTCAATGGATAGAACATTGGCCTGCGGATTGAAAGGTCCCAGGTTAGCCAAGACCAGTTTGGCTCAGTGGATAGAACATTGGCCTGTAGATTGAAAGGTCCCGGGTTCGACAAGATAGGTTTGGCTCAGTGGATAGAGCATCGGCCTGTGGACTGAAAGGTCCTGGGTTCGCCAAGATCAGTTTGGCTCAGTGGATAGACCATCGGCCTGTGGACAGAAAGGTCCCGGGTTCGCCAAGATCGGTTTGGCTCAGTGGATAGACCATCGGCCTGTGGACTGAAAGGTCCCGGGTTCGATTCTGGTCAAGGAGCATGTACCTTGGTTGCGGGCACATTCCCAGAAAGGGGTGTGCAAGAGGCAGCTGATCAATGATTCTCATTGATGTTTCTAACTCTCTTATCTGTAAAAAATCAATAAAATTTTAAAAAAAAATGCTAAACTTATAATGCATACTGTTTTTAAATGCTTTTTTGCAATACCAGTTTTGAGGACCTGAGCATAGGTGTTCAGAAGTAATCACTTGTATAAACTCATTGATCTGCCCTAGCTGGTTCGGCTCAGTGGACAGGGTGTTAGCCTGCGGTCTGAAGGGTCCCGGTTCCATTCCAGGCAAAGACACATGCCCGAGTTGCAGGCTCAATCCCCAGTAGGCAGGAGGCAGCCGGTCAAGGATTCTCTCATCATTGATGTTTCTAGCTATCTCTTCCCTCTCTCCCTTCTCTGAAATCAATAAAAATATATTTTAAATAAAATTAAAAAAACAAACTCATTGCCGAAACTGGTTTGGCTCAGTGGATAGAGCGTCAGCCTGTGGACTGAAAGGTCCCGGGTTCAGTTCCGGTCAAGGGCATGTACCTTGGTTGCGGGCACATCCCCAGTGGAGGGTGTGCAAGAGGCAGCTGATCGATGACTCTCTCATCGATGTTTCTAACTTTCTATCCCTCTCTCTTCCTCTCTGTAAAAAATCAATAAAATATATTTAAAAAAAAAAAAAAAAAAAAGAACTCATTGACCTGTGGTCTTTTTAAATGACATGTCATAGTCTCCTTTTCATCACCTCCGTCAGGGATAGTAAGGCCTCAAGGAGATCAAGTGCGTCATGGAGAAGGCAGTAAGGAATGTGTACAAAATGACGCCACAAACCCCATGCTGGTTAGGTTAGCTGGGCTGTCCCTTTCTGCACTGACAGGTGTTAACTGGGCTGTCCCTGTCCGCACTGACGGGTGTTGGGTTAGTCGGGCTGTCCCTGTCCGCACTGATGGGTTCATACTGACGGTGCCTCTTGCTCTCAGGCCCCTGCGCTGTGTTGTCCTCATTGCTCTCAGGGATGTCAGCCAAGGAGAAGAGCTTCTCTCCAACTACTACACCATTGTCCGCTGACTGAACAAGGAAGCGGGTCTTCTACTCGGTCCATGTTAGTATTTTGGTTAGTCATTTCTGAATTCCAGAGGAGAAACTTATTTCAATTTTGTTTCAATCCCATGCTAAAAATCATTTGCTTAATTTCAATTTCAAATTTGCAATGCAACTCCAATTTTACTTCATTTTCAGCTAAATACAGTAGCTTATTAAAACCTACTGCCTGGATTTATAATTTTTCTTGTGTCCATGTACATGTGGGGTTTACAAAATTTTAGCCAAGTCCTCAGCAATTCTTTAACTGTTGATGTATATGTACTTCTGAAAAATGTTTTTACAGAATGAACTAAAACCAAACCATTTTTGTTGCCACAAGTTAATTGGTGTGTGTGTGTATGTGGATTTAGCTGAGGGGGAAACTGGAGTAATGCTATTTTCTTTATTTGCACATTTACAGAGATTAAAGCACCACGAGAGACTGGCATGGGAAGCCACATAGAAGTGGTGGGGTAACACCAGCACAGAGCTGTCTCCATGTGTGAGCTCAGAGCGCGCCAAGTGAAGTTCTGTCAGGGCCAGGGCCTGGGAGACTCAGCAGCAGACTCAGACCCTGCCGAGGACGGCGACTGGCCCAAAGGGACGAGGCCCGAAGTCACGGTTGTCTTGCTCCGGCCTTGGAGGCCCCTCTGTAGCTCTCCCGGGCACTGGGCTGCCTTCAGACACGGCCCGGGGGCAGTGTGCCCGAGCCTCACACAGGCTCGCTGGTGTCACGGGGGAAGGAATGTGGTTCTAGACCAGTAACCAGAGCCGTTCTCCCTCTCCTGTCCTCACACAGAATCTGGACATCGTGTGCCATCTGACCGGAACAGACTAAGGGAGCCAGAGAAAGCTCTGGTCGGAGCAAGTGCCGTAGGGACACCGGGGAGTTAGGCTGAAAGACCTTTAGCTGAAAAGGTGAAGGCCAGAGTCTACTGAACTGTGACTCTTAGTGTGATGTGACCAAATTTCAGTTATCGTGTCTTCTCAAAAGCCACTTAGAACAGTGACTAACACATCAAAATGTTCATTAAATACTTCCTGAATTAAAGTGTAATCCTCACTTTGGGATGGCTAGTTTTATTATGAATGGAAATTTATTATAGAGAATTTACAGTAACTTTTTTTATCTACCAAATACCTTATTTACTCTACCTAAAACCAATTTTACAGTGGTTAAATATCTACCTGTGCGTTATAGCTTAAGACTCATTAAATAAAACCTATTTGTAGCAAATATTCACACACGCCAAGAAAGGAAAAAAAGATTTCCAGATTTTTATTTCTGGAACTGTACAGGTATTAAAGTACAACAGATACAAAATAATGCTCAAAAAAATCAGTGTTTATGTACAAATATTAAAATCAATGCAACAATAGCAACTTCCTCTTGAATATCTGTTACTAAGACTTGTTCTGATTGTCACTAATTCATTTCATACTCACAGGGTACTTAGCTCAAACTGGGACCATTGGATCACTGGTTTTCTAAGAGGAATTTTAATATCGACCATATTTAATAATAAAACTAATAGCTTCCTCCTTTTGTGAAAAATTAAGAACTTTTTAAAAAACATAGTAATGTCAATATTCTTATAAATTATTTCAGTTTCCATTTGTAGACAATGTGCTTTGAAACTGGGCAAACAATCTCCGTGGTGGCCGGGGTTCCTCCATTAGTTTACATTCAGAGTTGAGTCACTGGAGACTTTGGTTAAATTCAATAGTTAAAATCACTCTGCTCTGTGAGAGCCGACGTCCTCAAACACTCAGGACCCTCAGTCGTACAAATTAATAGGAAACAATTGCACAATGCTTTGACCTAATTGTACACACTTTAGTATCGTTTAAAAATTATTCTACATCCTTCAAGTAAAGTCAGCAGCTGACCGAGGAGAGCCGGCGCCGAGCGCGGCCCAAGGAAGTATTGCTCTAGTCACAGCACCATCGCACCCACCGCTCTCCCCAGAAAGACACAGCAGCCCACTGCAATCGCTCACCATGGATTTTTGGTTTGTTCGTATGAAAATAATGCAGCGAAGGGGGGGGGAAAAAGAATTTATCACAGTTTGTTATAAGAATTGTGCTTAACACTTGATAATAAAGGCATTGTTATCTCTTCATATGATTGCAAATCGTTATCTTAACGCTCTCAAACGCAATTCTTCTAATAAACAGTAACAAATTCTGTGTAAGATGCTTCAATGGAGGGGGGGGGGAGAACAGTCAATCCAGCTTTTAAAAGAAAATTCAATAAATAGCTATTTTACATGGACAAAGTGGTATCATGTATGTCACATCAAGCATGCACAAAAATGCTATTATACATGGCAGACGCAGTCAAAAAAATACGGAATCAGATCTAAAAAGACAGGAAGAATTTACACATATATACAGGAACCTTGCAGATTATTGCCTCATTTTCACAAGGAATTTAAAGTAAACATCGCCAGCCCGCCAGCACTCTCTAAGAGGCTAACTAGCTTGGCATCTAAACATCTATAAACTAGCTGGAGTTTATGTTTCTCTCATATCATTTTCTGAATTTTGGTCAAAAATCTTTATTCAGATAACATGTCCATTCCACCTGCTGATAATCAAAGCTTGTGGTAAGAAACACCATTTCTGTCCTGATGGAGCCCCAGCAATGCATAGCTGCACGACCAGACCACTGCCTGGGCCTGGGCATGCTCTCGCAGTGTGGCTGGTGTTAGCGCTCGGCCATCTGTGTAAATCGTCACACCCACCAGCCACTGTAAACCTCGTGAAAATTAAAGTCTGAACAATGGAAGAGGATGGCCAATACCTTACAAATCATAGCTGTACTGATTCTTACCGAAAGAACTAAGGTCCAAAGCTAACACACCACCACAGCAGTACAAACTGACAGCTCAGATGGCCTGACAGAAGCCTTCCCGTAGCTGTGGTGTGCGCAGGAACGCTGGGCTGCAGATGTATAAATTACAGACTTTTTAAGTTATTAACTTCCTACTCCTGTCCACTGTGCTAAACTACATTTTATGGTAAATGTGCTATAATGTGTAAACACTTCAAAGCAATCTTCATTAAAATGCTGCAAAGAAAAACAAGAATACACTTCATCCAAACCCAGTATGCCATTGCAGTTCACAGTCTGTGTAATAAATACCCTCCCTGCCCACACGGCTACGGTCGCTACCATCTACCTACGCGCCAGCACCACCTCAAGGTGACATAGATCACGAGATCGGCAGTGCGGCCACACGTCTCAGCCACCTGCAAAGCAAGACCTCGCAGAAACGGGAAACCCTAACAAAAGCGGTGCAAATAAAAAGGTACAAGTCTGTGTCTTAACTGAACTATAAAAGCAAAGCTTGGCGCGTCCGAACACTGTACTGCATGCGGTCACCTCAATGCAGGCCATGGCGCATGGCGGCCACGGTGCAGGACCACAGCTCCCCTCCGTTCACGGGATGTCTGGATGAACGTGAAACAGCCGAGAGCATCCAAGCGCCTAAACCTGCTTAAACTTAAAAGTGGTCAAGTACCGTTCTATTTGACAGTAACTCAAGTTAAACAAAACACGTAAATCTACTTCAGGTTCTCCCGCAGCCTGTGGAACCTCAACGTCGTTCCTCGGCATTCACACCGTACGGCAGCGCTGCCCTCGCCAGCCAGTGTGAACAGGAGCCTGCCCGCCAGCCACTGCCCCGGAGACTCCACGTCGATGGCGGTGTGGCTTTCCAATCACAACCTTGACAAGGGTGGACAAGCCCTATCTGGGTACCATATCTTCAAACGCCCCATCTGTAGCCAATAAATGAAGTTCATAAATCTTCCGACAGTAACACAAGCCGTTCTGTAGAAGGTGCCCTGGTCGAGAATCTGGAAACATCCGAGCGTCTCGTCTGCACGCAGCCCTCGCCAGCTCCCAGAGGTGGACGTGCTGTTTGTAAACGGAAGTGCTCTAGCTGAGGAACATGAGAGAAGCTTCCACTTAAAAAACCCTTGCATGTCTGTGCAGTTTAAAGAAACCTGCCCCTGCTTTTGCTTAATTAAGAAAACCAAAAATGCTACATTTTGCAGGGATGAGGGTCGGCACCTGTAAACACTTATTCTGATGCATCCGTTACGGCAAAAGGACCTTACACGCGAAGACGCCACTCCTTCCGTCCCGAACATGTGCTGGTTTTGAACTGGTGGCCTGTCTACAGGCCTTAAACGTGGGAGCAAGAGACTGGAAGGGGGCGTGGCAGGTCTGGGAGGTGAGGGGGAGAGCAGAGCTTAAAGCTGCCGAGGAGTCCCACCTTCGCTCCCGCTCTGCTGCTCACGGTTTCCACATTTATGGATTGAGAAATGAAAATATTCTTGATAAATCAAGATAGTCTGTACATGCTGACATCACTGATGTCATAGTGAACACGTCCGAGCTTCCAGTGAAAGACTAAGCAGCCCAACGTGTCTGCGCACTGGGCTGAGGCCGCCAGTCACTCGGAGTGGAGGGCGGCGTGCGGGTGCAGGGCATGGGCACTGAGGAAGCCGTTGGACTCGCCGGCAGACAGGCTGCCAAAGTCCGCCACGGACACGGCCATCTTGGCGCTGGCGATGTGGTGCGTGTGGCTCTCGAAGTCCACGCCTAGGCTGCTCACGGAAACCTCGCTCAGGAAGGGCTCCGGGACTGCCAGGCCCATCTTCAACCTCTTGGCTGGTCTCTCTGGCTCCTCGCTGCACAGGGCCATGGGGTTGAGCTCCGAGTGGTAAAAGCCCGTCTCAAACAAGTTAAAGCAGTCGCTCTCCCCGTGGCTGGGCAGGGTGAGCAGCTCCTCCGTCGCCACGGGCACGGGCGTCACCGGGCCGCGGGGCAGGCTGCCCAGCGGGGGGAAGCCCTCGTCCAGGCAGCTCACGGACCCGGGGGTGGCTGCGCTGCCGGTCAGAGCTGGAAGGAAGCGCAGTGGAGGGGAAGGGAGGGGAGGGTTAAATGGTGTGAGGACGCCAAGGGGACTCCAGGCGAGCTGAGCACCAGGGCCCTCACCTGTCAGGTCGCCTGCGGAGAAGGAGTTGAGGATGTTCAGCTGCGGGTCAGAAACAGGCTCTGGGCGGCTGGCGGTTAAGACGGGAGAACTGACGGCCCCGCCCAGCGCCTCCGTCTCATCCACCAGGCGGTCCATGTAGTCCCTGGAAAACAGCCCCGTGAGCAGCACACCCCGCAAGGAGGCCGCCCGCCCGGCCTGAGCCAGCACTCACGTCACTCCAGGGTGGTGGTTGTAGCGCTTCTTCCCAAACCTCGTCTGCTGGGCGAAGTAGTCGTAGCGCTCCGACTTCTTCCACATGTAGTAGAACGCCACGCACTCGGCCACCGTTCTGGTTCTCACCTGCCCAAGAGTTGGATGTTTAAAAACAGACAATACTTATTACCTCCTTTTACACCACCAGGAACTTCCATCCATGGAACATTTTCCATCCTCCCAGCTATGACACCCTGAAGATCTTATGAGTGAGATGGTAGAAGAGTAAGACTTTCTGAAATTCAGTAAATCCTTTTCTGAGTGGAGGACGCTGACTCACGTCAAGAGGACTTGGGTGCCCCATCAGCCACCCCAGGAGTGGTGGCTGGGAGCAAGCCCCATGCTCAGAGCAGGAACACGTGAGTGAGCAGGCTGTGCCTTTTTCTACAGGTGACAGCAGCTCACAATCATCGCGATGACCAACAGGCTCTCTGTAATCATGTGCCTGACTCACCTTGTTCTTCTGTATCAGATAAAAGTCTTTTCCAAACAGCATGAGTGCATGTTCAAAGCTTCGGCACTCCTCTTCTGTCCAGGCAGCCATTCCTTCTGAGGAAATTGTGAAATGAAATTCATTCGACTCACAACACTTCTATATGAATTACTGACTTTCAGTATGTTTTCCATAGAAAAGGCCACACACATACACAGGTTCTATATGTCAGAGATTTCAGTTAGAATTACTGATAAGTTGCATACCGTAAGTCTTACCAGAAGTCTAGAATACCAAAATATAAACACTGATTATTTTTTCTGCATGGTGGAATAAGAATTGAATGTTTTTCTATAATTTATGCTCACTGTTGGTCTGATTTTTTAAAACAATGAACATATACTTTAGGGAAAATGTTTTACTTTATGGGGGGGAAAAAGCCTTATTTTGCTCTTACATTAAAACCCTAAGGTTCTTTAATTAGACCATAAGATCAACACACATTTATTTACAGTCTGTCCTCTGGGAAGGAGAACAGCCATGCTCTCAGTCAACGTCTGAACCGGTGGGGCTTCCAGGACGCCCCTACTGGTGAGCTGTCTCCTGACACTGAGGCAGGACACTGACAGGTCATGTGACACAGGGACCAGGTCCCCAACGCCAGGCGCATCCACAGGTCAGATGAGACATACTCTAAACTATGGAGGGAGCTTCTACAAGGAAACATTCCAACAGACTGTCTGCACCTACAAGTCTCAATGTACTGTTCCCAGCTGGCATTCCCATGCCCTTTCTACAACCTCAGAAGTGCTAGTTCTCCCTACGTGGTGACCGCTTCGGGGCATGCCACCTGCTCTGTAAAGACAAGCACTGGAATCAGTTCTGCATTTGACTAAGCAACACAGAGCCAGGCCTGTGGAAAAGCCGGGACGGGGACCCATCTCGGGGGAGCTGGGATCCGCCGGGCAGACGGCCGAGACCTGGAGGGCCGCCTGTCCCCAGCACAGCGCTCACCCTGAGAGGCCTTCCCGCTGCGACAGTGCCTCTGGACGGCCTCCTGCACGTTGTGGTCACTCCGGAGCAGTTGGTACAAGGCCTGGGGAGAGGGAAACAAGTCAATGAAATGACACAAAACGCCGGCTCAGCAGCGTCCAGAACAAGTGAACAACACCCCGGAGTTTCCAAGTGCTGCCAACACTGGCGCGAGGCTCTCTTTGGGACACGGGGGATCTGCTCAGCTGCAGCCTGATGGCCGTGTCCGGGGTCCTGCCATCCCCGCGCCAGGCACCGAGCACCCACCATTTCATCCTCGACTGTTTCACTGCCTGGCATCTCAACTGGGGAACCCCGTCCTACGTTACTTTTCTGGCTGGGAAATGAGAGCTCTGGTCCTCTCGTCACCCCTACTCCCTGCCTTTGAGTGCTTTAATAAGAGCAGCAGCAGCAGGCCTGGTTAAGAGTGGGGGCACCTCAGCAAATGAGTTTACCATGGTCTCCCTCATCTTCATCCACCATCAAGTATCGCTTTTTAAAATTAGAATTTCTTCCTATTAATAAGCCTGTTGGACATTATGAATATACTACCAGAAGCAAACAGGAACTACAAGTTAATACTCCACCCTCCCACATAAGATTCAAGAAAGGCAAGGATAGCTCAATATTGGTAAGCCTATTAACATATCAAGAAGTTAATAATCAATGCATTATCAATCTCAACAGCTGTTAAAAAAGCCTAAGGTAGATTCATGCCCATTTCTAATTTAATAACAGCAGCAGCAGCTATCGGCAGTGGCCCCAGTTCACTGTCCTGACAACAGCTGTGGGCTGGCTGGTGACACTCCTAACGTCCAGGCTAACAGCAGGCCTGGGGCCGGCCTGGCCACAGGAGGCCTGAAAACCATTGGGCCAGGCCCTGCCAAGGCAGGAGTGAGTGAGTTAAATGTCTGGCAGACAGAACAGGCTGACGGTTGAGCTAAACATTCTGTGTGGCCCAGAGTGAGGTTCTAAGCCTCCCACCAGCCTTGGCAGGAAGGTCGCCAACCCTGCCTCAGGCGCATCACCCAATTTAAAAGTAATGCATTCCTCTACACAGACGACGTTTAACTATAAATATAACAGATCCCATTTGTAATAGCACTGAATGCATACATTCTTTAAAAACATTGAAGAGTTAAGTTAATCAAATGCATGTCATATTCAAATAAACAAAGACATCTGAGTGATAAAGTCCAAGTAAATGGAGAATCACAGAACGTACTCTTGAAGTGTAAGGGCTAATGTGTTAAAGGCACTAATTCTTCCAAAAACTAATTTGCAGTTTTAATGGAATATCAGCACAAACCCCATGGGAGTCCCTTTGCCGGCCGATAAAACTCCCCTGAAGTCCAGCTACTGTAGCCTCTCTGCTACTTGGGAGCAAGTCTAAGCCCCCACCCCTGGGTGCCATTGGTCAGGATCCCGGGGGCTGCTGGGAAAAGGTGCCTGAGGGTTTTCAAAGAGTCCTTAATGGGCAATACTCCCACTACCCCACCCAACCAGGAGAGTGAAGCTCAAGAATAAACTAAAAGGCCCAGAATGTCCAAGTGATGTTACCCCTACAGGACAGAGCCCAGGCATCAGGAATGAGGTCGTCAAGAACTCTCAATGGCAAGCAAAAATAAGATGAAGTGACTAAAGAATATTAAGCAGTCCCTAAAGTAAGACAGGTGTGTTATGTACAGAAAAAAGACCAGGAAAGAAACGAGCAGGAGGACCAGGAGATCTGAGACATCCAGCCGACGTGAGAAACACCAGCCTCACGGTAACCAGCCGCCGAGCAGAAGCGCCACTGTGTCCAGAGGCGCATGCCCACCTGCTCACTGTCCCTGACAAGTGCGCCGGCAGAAGACCTGTCCACCATCTTCTCATTCCCGGTTCGGAGTGCGGCCTCCACCAGGTACTCCTCCACCTGGCTCTCTGCAACCACGCCCGGACGCCAGAGGAGCTGGTCTCCGTCCTCAGACTCTGAAAGGAACGTCAGGGGGAGCAGTGAGCACAGGAGCCAGGGCATATGCTCCTCCCCTGCACCGGCACCAGGACGGGTCACGCAGGCCCCCCGGCAGCGGACGGGCTGCCATGGAACCGGCACCAGCACGGTCAGAGCCTCCGTCACTGTGTGAAGAGCCAGTGCTCCGTGGCTGACAGGAGTTGGGGCTCATTCCCTCAGAAGACGGGTGTCATGCCGTCTCTCCTGTGAGGAGGCGCCCTCCTCGCGTGCACTCACAGGACAGGTGCACGCACAGTGTGGGCGGTGGCGGGGCCTGAGCCGACCTGCTCGTGCCTGCTTCCCGGGCACCTGGCCAGCACCTGCCTCTCTCTCCCGGGGGACAGCCCGTGTAGTTTCGTGGCAATGACTCCACAGGACGAAGCAAGGCACTGGGAGAAAGGCCAGTCCGTGGCCACCTGCCTGGTCTCCACAGTCAGTGAGGAAGGCACAGCTCTTTACTCCCCACCTCACCCTCCACACTCTGAACTGATGACAGCAGTGTCTGGGACAGTGTGAAGAGTCATCACACACAGGTGGGTGCACCACACAGAGCAACCTTCCAGCCACACCTGCCAAGCACTGGGCCGAGGCCTCTGGGCCGTGTCCCAAGAGGATCGTCTCTACCGTCCTCAGGGACAAGACGGACCAGCGTGCGAGCCGGACAGGTGCAGAGCAGGATACGGGCCGCCCAGTCCTGAGCACGCTGGCTGAGGAGGCCGTCCAGGCCGGTGCTACTCCTGACCAGCATTCCTATGCCAGCCTCGTGTCCCAGTTCAAGCCCACCTTTGCATCACCAAGACGGGTTTCCCATCAGACATTTAAGTAAGCCCATGAAGGCCTACAAATATTATAAAAATCAAAAGCCTCCTTACCTTCCTCATTATCATCATACTCTCCAAGGTAAGGGGGGATCTCGGCCTGATACTGTAAACCGATCATTATTTCCTGTAGGAAAACCCAGAAGCAACAACAACATATTATAAAAACAAATTTCCAACTCATTACTTGGTTACTGCAATGAAAAATCCTCATCATGTAATAACAAAATTTCAACTTTTTTTTTTTTTGAGAAGGAGAGGAAGGGAGAAACATGGATACGAGAGGGTAATGTCGATTGGTTGCCCACTGCACACACCCACACTGAGAACTGAACCAGCAGCCTGCGTATGTGCCATGACCAGGAATGTACGACCCTCAACCAGCTGAATCACACTGGCCAGAGCGCTGGCCTGCAGACCAAAGGGTACTGCTCTCCATTCTCATCAGGGCACAGGCCTGGTTGCGGGCTCCATCCACAGTAAGGGATGCAGGAGGCAGCTGATCCATGAGTCTCTCATCATTATGTTTCCATCTCCCTATCTCTCTCTTCCTTCCTCTCTGAAATCAATAAAAATGTATTTTTTAAAAAGGTTTTAAAAACATTCAATACTACTTCAATACATTGGTCCAAATAGCCCCCTAAGATATGGCAACGCAACTTACCTTCCTCAGATCTTCAGGTGAGTTACCATTGTCTGCTTCAGCATCTTCAGTCTCTGACTCTTTATCTCCATCACAAGTAGTATTTGCTGAGGAGAAGAAAATCAAATGTATAAAAGGTTTTTATTGGATGTTTTTGTAGCGTCGGAAAGCGGGCTGACATGTGGAATTCACTGAAATTTGCTGAATAATTGAGATCAGCAAGATGATCCCAACCCCTTGTGCTTCTCCCATTTCTGACACATCAAAACCAGCCCTGCAGCGGCCGCAGCAGGGACAGCACCCCCTGCTTCCTGCGTTCAGCCAGGCGCCTGGAAGGCACAAGGCCAACCATTCGGCCTGAGTCCTGCTTCCGTAGCCCGAGCCCCGGGGCTGCACACGCAGCCCTCAGGCAGGCCTGCACAGCATGCAGGTGTCTCTCAGCTGTCACTGAGCGGCTCAGGTACAGGAGCCGTGAGAAATGAGCAAGCTGCACAGAATAAATTATTTCTGTTTAAAGACCTTCTAAATATTACTGGTAAATATTAAGGGATGACACAAATATAAAAGGAAAGAAAAGGAGTAAATAAATCACTAAAAATAAAAAATGCGCTGAAACCAGTTTGGCTCAACGGATAAAGCGTCAGCTTGGGGACTGAAGAGTCCCAGGTTCGATTCTGGTCAAGGGCTGGACCTTGGTTGCGGGCATATCCCCTGTAGGGGGTGTGCAAGAGGCAGCTGATCGATGACTCGCTCATTGATGTTTCTAACTCTGTATCTCTCTCCCTTACTCTCTGCACAAAATCAATAAAATATAAATAAGTAAATAAATAAAAATAATGCTAGCCCAGCTGGTGTGGCTCAGTGGTTGAGTATCAACCTATGAACCAGGTCGCAGTTGAGGGTTCAAACCCCAGTAGGGGGCGTACAGGAGGCAGCCAATCTATGATTCTCTATCATTGATGTTTCTGTCTTTCCCCCCTTCTCCCTCTCTCAGAAATCAATAAAAATACATAAATTTCTTTCTGAACAACTAATAGTTTTCAAAACCAGGGGAGTGAGAGCTATTTTATTTTTTAAATTTTTTATTGTTGAAAGAGAGGAAGGGCTTTTTTTTAACTGAAGTCCAAAAAATGCCTATAAGTTACACGGTGGAACTAGGTTACCATAGCAATAGAGGAATCCTGGGAAAGAAAGCAGCCTTGCAAAATAGGCAAATGTTTTGACTTTCAATGAAATAGCTGACCTCTATCCCAATAATTATAATAGCATTTTATGTCCATTATAAGTTGACTTGGAATATTTTGACAAACCACAGAAGGCAATACAAGCACGTAAGCCGGAGCAGCATCCCGCCCTGTCGGCGAGGACGGTTCTTACAGCGCAGCGGCCGCGGGAAGAAGTCAGGGGCCTCGTGGGACGTCACGGACGGCGTCAGGTCGTCGGCGGAGGACTGGGTCTCCTCATCGTCCCCGGACAGCAGGTCCTTGGCTATCTCCTCCTGCGAGGACAGGAGTGCAGAGCTGTCAGCAATCACCCACCCCCAGCTTCTGAAGTGTCTTATGACATTCTTCATAAACATCATGGTGGTGTTATGACATAATTAAGAACAAGTGGAAGCTCCCTTAGTTTTGAGAATTTGAAATTCTGTAATTTATGTCATGTAAATATTTAATACTATTAAAGACTTAGTCCTACTTAATAACCATACATTTACAACACTTTGCCTTATCTGAAGCTGCAGGCTAGTTTTCAGTCACTATAAAACAAAACAACCTCACTTCTAAGTGGTTAACCATTAAAATCACTTTCTGCCAAAATAAATATATAAATAAGTAGTAGGCTGCCCTCAGTATCTGAGGTTTCGCATCCACAAGTCAACCCACTGAGATAAAAAAACATTTGGGAAATAAATAAATAAAAAGGGGGGGGGTCCCGGGTTGCGCACACACACGCACTGCCCGCAAAGGCCGTCAGTGCTGAACCCCGACTTTTTTCACGTTTTCCCCAAACAAGCCAGCACGCTCCGGCGGTTCCCACAGCACTGGGTCTGACAAGTGCCTGGGCTGATGGGAGTGCCATCTCACACAGGGACTAGAGCATCCTGGGTATTTCTATTTGTGGGGACCAGATCCAACCCCCACCCACCCAACAGACACTGAGGGGGGACTTCCAAACCAGCCGGGCCTCCTCAGCCCCTCCCGCAGCCCGGAGCCCGCTCTGCCGAGAGCACGCCGTGGAGCGCGGCCGCAGTGGGCGGTCACCGTGCTGTGACTGCGGGACGCCGTCATGAGGTCTGTGGGCATTAACATCACATTTGCTGAAAGGGGGGAACGTGACTCACAGGAAGAGGTTCCAAGATGTGGATTCCTCTCCCTGCCTGAGCTCGGAAAGGCGAGGGACGCTTCCCCGGGATCTGTTAGCAGAGACAGTGGCTGTGAATCCTCCTCAGCGGACAGGCTCCCCAGCCAGCCTGCAGACGCGTCCCCGAGCCTCGGCCCTCGGCCGCTGTCCCTCGCAGAGCCCAACACGCAGAGCTTCTCGCCAACCCTCCCGCCTGAGCCAGCTGGTCTGAAGGCTTCTGGGATTTACTGATCAAGGCAGTCAAGTGCTGGCAGGATCCACAGAGGTTAGGACAGAATCTAAGTTCAGGGACACACGTCGACAGGAAAGATGGGAAACACGGACGAACACTGAAACATGCAAAGTCTTGTGGAGCCACTGCTTTAACGTAGCACGATCGAGGCCAGACAGGACGTAAACCATCACAGCGTGAGGCAGGCAATGAGCCGAGGAGTCCCCACCTCAGATTAGGGACTCCACTGCGCTCAGGAAACGGGAATGTCAGTGCCATGGCCCTGGACTGCCTCCTGGGGACGGCACTTACCTTGTCCAGGGTCATGTCCGGCAGCTCATCGGCAAGTTCACTCGGGCAGCTGTTGGCACTGGGCTCCACCACGGCGGGCAGCACGGGCTCGTAGCCGTAGAAGGCCAGCAGGTCTTCCAGAGGCATGTTTCCTTCCTGTGCGGCGGGGCAAAGGGAGCTCAGGACACGCCCACAGCCAGCGCCCCCACCGTCTCATCAAGCCCCTGATCAGGAGCATCGAGTGACAGGGTCACAGGCCAGCGTGAGTTTTCCTCTCTGTTCTGCTGCCAAAAAGCAGCCTCGGCACCAGCTGCTGTCAACGTGCTAACAAAAGCCTTACACTTAGCCGAAACTGGTGTGGCTCAGTGGATAGAGCGTCGGCTTGCGGACTGAAAGGTCCCAGGTTCAATTCCGGTCAAGGGCATGTATATTGGGTGTGGGCACATCCCCAGTGGGGGGTGTGCAGGAGGCAGCTGATCGATGATTCTCTCTCGTCGATGTTTCTAGCTCTCTATCCCTCTCTCTTCCTTCTTCTCTGTGAAAAATCATAAAATATATTTTTTTAAAAAAAGCCTTACACTTAGCTTCTCCTTTCCACTTTCCAGCTACACTTCACTTTCTAAGGAATTCCTCAAATATTTGCTTTAATATAGACTTTTTTTTTCTCTAGCTTTCATACCTGCATGAGGATTTGCCTTCAAAACATTTTCAATCAATCACTTCACATAACTTTCTGCTTGTTTCCTTGCAACTGAAAGCTTCCACCTGGTTTATCTGCATGTTAATTGCAAGATTCCTGATGGGAAGCTTTTGCTGAGCATTTACTAACACCAACAATACTTATCACTAATGTTCACAACACAACGACCCTTCTGAATTCCTACTGTGCACCTGTTTGTCTTCTACACCAGCTGTTTTGGTTTTGTTTTCCTGAACCGCCCAGTGAAATCAGTATTATTGCCACCACCCAACGGATGAGAAATTGAAGCTTCACTCTGGGTTCGAATCCCAGGACCCCCAGAGCTCCCTTCCTGGCCATGCCCCAGTAGCTCCTTCCAGATCCCCCAACTGACCCATCAGAAACAGTGTCCATGTGAGCTGTAAAGCACAGCTTGAATGGTACTGGTCCGCCTAAACGTGGGTTTTTCCCAATATATGTACTGGAAAAACTTTTTGGAGAGTTGTGACAACTTCTTAGAAACTTTAAGACAAACCTTATAGTTTTCTTTTCTCCTACTTACTTGATTATAAGAATAGAGTATATAACAACACTCAATATGGGTTATCATCATTAAGGCTAAGTAGGTTATTAATTAGTCCCCTGGCTGGTATTACTCGTGGATGGAGCATCAGCCTGCAGACCGAAGGGCCCAGGTTTGATTCCAATCAAGGGCACATGCCTGGGTTACTGGCTCAATCCCCAGTGGGGGTGTAACAGAGGCAGCCGATCAATGACTCACATCATTAACGTTTCTATCTCTCCCTCTCCCTTCCTCTCTGAAATTAGTAAAAATATAGCTTTTTTTAAAAAATAGGTTAGCAGTTAAGATTTTGGGGAATCAAAAGTTACAATGGATTTTCTACTGTGTGGGGATCAGCGCTCCTAACTCCACACTGTTCAGGGTAATTTACTAAAGTGTATAGAATTACTTATAATTATTCAAACAAATAATTTTAAAACAATCTATTCCTGGACCAGTTAACTTGTTACATAAACTATGGGTACAGGGAATGGGAGACAGATACCAGGAAGGATGGTACGGGGCAGGGAGACCCACGGGGCAAAGGCTGAGCTCCGCCTGGAGTCAGAAGGCGGGCCCCGGACTTGTGGTGTCCGCTGACGCTGCCCCCGCAGTGCCCGCACTGGCCCTGTGCCAGCGTGGGGACAGTCAGGTCTTTCCTTCCACTACTTACAGCCTCGGGGGCACATTAAAGATGCCAAACAAGAAAAAGGGTATGAAAACTCAAAAGATTAGCCCTGGCTGGTGTTGCTCAATGGATAGTGTCGGCCTAGGGACCAAAGGATCCCGGGTTCGATCCTGGTTAAAGGCATGGACCTTGGTTGCAGGCTCCTTGGGCCTTGGCCAGAGGTAACCAATCGATGTGTTTCTCTGATGTTTCTGTCTTTCCTCTCTCTTCCTCTCCCTAAAAAAATTAATGGAAAAATATCCTTTATTTTTTGTTAATCCGGGTGAAGATTAACAAAAAATAAAAATAAATTTTAAAAATTTCAAAAGATTATTGTTGTATTTAATAGTATTTCTGAAAGGTTTTATTATTCTGGGCTGATTAGAAATTTGCCAGGGGGGTTAATTTATAGATAAGTATAATCCTACATTTTTTCAAGGTGATTCATAGGGCAGGCCTCTCTTTTGTAGTCCTGGTATAAATATGTGATTTAAAACCCAGTTCATTTGAATTTATATTGATTTTGGATTTAAAGTTATAAACTACATTTACTCCTGCCAATTTTTTTAAAAGACAACTGGGGAGGGGTAGAAAATGAGATATTATTACATTTTAAAACAGAGCAAAACTTTTTCTCTTTTAATTTTCTTAAAGAGTGTTGTACCATTCTGTAAGTAACTTCAAGGAAAAGATTTCTCCCCGTATCTACTGCAGCTAAACTCAAGCTGGGCCTCAGCACAGAGCAGTCTAATGCATGGAGGCGGGGCTAAGAGCAGAACCAAGCCCAGGGCCTACACAGACTACCCGGATTCCATCCGTACAATCACCAGAGCACCTCCTTCACTGTGCTGGTGGCACACTTGAAAATTAAGTTCATAGACTTAAAATAATTTTGAAAAATCAAATTAAAATTTATTAGGCTCCCCTCCAAAATAACGAGAAAATCAGTAACATTCTGTAAAAGTTAGATCAAAAACAGATTGTAAAACAATTTACTATAGAATTTCATAATGTTTGCTGAAAGTTTGTATTAATATACTAAAGTACCATCCTCTACCTTTTCCAAGTCTTCGATTTCAGAGCTGAAGTTTTTACCCCCGTCCATCATCTCCTCTTCTTCCAGAGTCCTTTCGTCATCGTAGTCATGGACCAGCATCTCAGCCGTAGGGTCAAAGTCATGATCCTCCGAAGACAAAGACCCAACTGCAATGAAGCAAGCAATCACTTTACAAGTTCACAGGCTACTTACTGTTCTTCTGCCAGTTCCTTTTAATGCTTACATGTGAGCTTTATTGAATGCATTTACTATATACCTTACCGCTTATAAATAAGACCACACAGCCAAAACCGGTTTGGCTCAATGAATAGAGCATTGGCCTGGGGACTGAAGGGTCCCGGGTTCGATTCCGGTCAAGGGCATGTATCTTGGTTGCCGGCATATCCCCAGTAGGAGGTGTGCAAGAGGCAGCTGATGGATGACTCTCTCTCATCGATGTTTCTAGGTCTCTATCTCTCTCCCTTCCTCTCTGTACAAAATCAATAAAATATATTTTTTTTTAAAAATAAGACCACACAGTTCTGAAAAGGTATCTAAACCAGCAAAGAAAGCAGGCAGAGTAACTTTCACAAGGGGTCTGATCATGCGAGTAAAACTTATAATAGCAGCAAAGTGGTTTTTAAGTGGGAGTGGTCCTCAAAAATATCTAACAGAACAGTCAAACCTGCTCATGAGGCTAGTTACATTTGTCTAAAGCAATGGAAAAATATCAGCAGGATTATGAAGAGTCCACAAGAACCTATTATAAACTAAGGCTGTAAGTAACTTGAAGGGAAAGATTTGGGAGAAGAGAATATAACCTTAGCCAGTTTGGCTCAGTTGATTAAGAACAGCAGCCTTTGGACTAAAGAAAATATAAATGTTACCCAAATTCTAACCCTCAAAAAAAGGTGCAAAATACAACAGAAATCTGGTTCTGGAACACACTGTTTCTGTGCAGCAAGCAGCTTCCAGCAATTCCACCAGTAAGAGCCTACACCGTTCCCCGTTGACAATGGCATTGAAGCTCTCCACGTTCTGAGGGAGGCATTCCACTGAGAGAGATGCTCCTTGGGGTTATTGAGGAAAGTCCTAAGCTCCCTGAAGGGTCGCAGAAAGCTACAGTGGCAGGTTTTGGAAGGTGCATCCCCCTGCAAGCTGTTTTGGTCAAGTCATACTTGCTTATATAACTGTAATGCATTTCAATGGCCAACATGAAGTTAGCAGGATTTTCTGAAAACCAAGCAGAAAGAAAATAAGATCCATAATCCCGAGAACAGTATCAATGATAAAAAAAAAAAAAAAAGTTTTCTCCATTCGCTTTACTCCAGAATCTAATCTTATTAGACCAGTGACATTCAGAGCAAAGTACCAGAAGAGGTGAATGGAGGGAGAAGACGTGCATTCAACATAAAAAGTTAATCTCCTTTTAGTCAAGCTATTTACTTTAAAATTTCAAACATTTACAGTGTGAGGTCATTAATAAAATCCTGAACTGGACCTTAGATTCTTCACTATGAAAAAAAACACAGACGTAAGTCGATGTTTATGATTCTGAGTTCTGATCATTTGCTCCAAAAACCACATAGTAATTTCTATGGGACTTAATTCTTTAGGTTTACATTATGGTGTTTCCTTTGTAATGTTGAAAACTAGTATTTGCTCATTTTAAAACCTGTTAAAGTATATACATGAATTTAATTTTCAAAGGGAAAATAGCTCAAAAACAAAACACCCACCATTACAAATTTCCTTTTTTGAGGAATTCCTGGAAGCCTGTGTTGCGCCCAGTGTCAGGGTGACACGGGATAACTTTCTACCGCTGTGAGGGCAGAGCTGTCCCGGTGAGTCCTCCCCTCTCCTCCCGCCCCCCCCCTTCCCATGCCTGCAGCAGCTGGGGGTGAGTGGAAGGCGTTCCCGAACAGCCAGCAGAGGGGCCTCCTTCTGCACTTGGCTCTACCCCTGGCTTCTGGGACCTGAGCAGTCATTTAAACTTCTGGGCCTAGGTCCAGTTTTTCATTTGTAAAACACACAGGATTGGCTTAAATGACCTCAAGAGTCTCTTCTAGCTCTAAAATTCCCTTTAAAATTGACTAATCGATTGAAAACAGGTTATAAATTTGTTTAAACACCAAAACCACAGTCTTTTTGCTTATTTAGACTGCAATGTCTTAAAAGCAGACAGTGATACAAAATGGAAAAATTCCATTATCATCCAGATGTTTGGCATCATGCACGTAAATATTCTTTTCCTGAAATCAGTTCTAACAAAAAAACATTTGTCTCAAAATTAGAGAAAGGTTGTAAAACCATTTTTAAATGTAAAGACAGGGACAGCTATTTTTAAGAGCCAAAAATGCCCTGTACTCGGTGCGGCTGGCTGACAATATCCTAAATGAGAACTACGTGAGGCCTCCAAAGCCGGCTGACACGGGACCGCCAGGAGGCGGGCCACGGGCTAAGGCGGCAGGAGGCGGGTTGGGAGCTCGTCCAGGCTCCGCTCGAGGGGCTGCAGCTACTCCAGAGGTCCTGAGCGTGCAGTGTACAGCGTACAGTGAGGGCTGGGCTCCACGCAGGAACTTCTCCTGGAGACGGAGGGAGGGAGCAGCCAAGAGGAGGCTGGGCAGCGGGGAGATGGAAACAAAGCCACCCTCTCGTGTTAGCCCGAGGCCAGGCCCTCACAGGGACCCCAAACTGGAGCAATGCTGCCCTGTATATCCTGGGGGCCGTGCTCGCTCTCCTCGCGTCGTCAGGGGGCTTCTGAGCCCCAAAAGGCTAAGAAATGGGGTCTCGGGTTGTCACCTCAAAAAGGGTCCAACTCGGAAGTTCTGCATTCCTCTTGATTAAGGCAGCTTTATGTAACTCTCAAAATTCGCCTTAACATTCCTCCGTTATGGAAAGCGTGTGAGACAGTCCGTGGGGAGGGTGCCTGGCCACCCGAGGGCCGCGTCCTGGCAGATGACGGATTTCCCACAGACCACAAAGCTAGCTCTGAACTTGGGCTGCGGAAGGGGCTTCGGACTAACCGTCTGCAGCAGGGGAGGACAAGAACTAAGGGCCGCTTCCAAGAGCGTTTTCAGCAACCAGAGCGAGAGGCGAAGGAGGAAGGTGATGGGGCTCAGCAGGGCGAGGAGCCCTGACCCCACCCCCGAGCACAACTACCTACCAACAGGGCCCCTGACACCACCCCCAACCAGGTGGAACTCCGGCAAACTCGTGGGGAACCTTCAGCTGCAGGTCAGGGACCCAGCACCCGGGGGACCCGCCACCCGGGGGAGACCCAGCACCGGGGCCCGGGGAGGAGAGGACGGGCGGACGGACGCACCTGGGCTGGAACTCCCGAAGGAAGCCTGCGGAGAGAGGAGACGCAGTGAGCGGGCGGCGGGGCAGCCGCCGAAGTGCGAGGCAGACCGGCCCTCCCGGCCCCTCCGAGCCGGGTGCGCGGACCGAGCCAACAGGCGCCCGGCGAGCTGCGCCCGCGGCCGTGGGTGCGCAGCCGGGGACCCCGAGCCCCGGCGCCCCGTCCCGGCCGCGGCCGCCGCCACCTGCGCACGCCGCGCCGGGCCCGTCCGGGCCGAGCGGAGGCCGGAGCGCAGCCACCGCCGCCGGACAGGACAGACCGTCCTCCGTGCGAGTGCGAGACGCCGGTCCCTCCGAGGGGCCTGGCGCGGCCTCCCGCCGCCCGGTCCCGGTCCCGGTCCCGGCCCCGGCCCCGGTCCCGGTCCCGGGGGGCGCGCCCCGCCTCAGGGACAGGCCGCCGAGGGCCGGAGCGGGCGCTGGTCCGCCGACACCGCCTCGGCTCCGCACCCCGCCCTGTGCCGGCCTCCGCGCCCGCGGCCGGGACCCCGCGACCCGGACCCGCTCCCGCCGGCACTGCCGCAGCCCCCGCCCCGCCCGCCGCCGCCCGAGGCAGCGCTGGGCTCCGCGTCCACCGCCGCCGCGACTCGGCGCCGTCCCCCGGCTCCCTGCCCGCCGCCCCCGCCCGCCGCCGCGGCCGCCGCGGCCTAGTCCCGCCCGGAGCCCGGACCGCCCGCCCGCCGCCGCCGACCCGGGAGCGGGGAGGCCCGGACGCCCAGGCCGCCGGGGCCGCGGGGCCGCCGGGCCGCGCAGCCGCCTCCCGCCGGGCCCCGCTCACCTCCGCCATGTTGCTGCCTTCAGGGCGACGAGCGGCGCCGAGCAGGCCCCGGATGGCGCCCCGGCCTATCGGCGCCGGCGCCCCGCCCGAGGCCCCGCCCCGTCCCGCCCGCGCCCCGCCCCTGCCCCGCCCCCAGTCTTCTGCCCGAGGTCCCGCCCTCCACGCCCCTGGCCCGCGGCCCTGTGCGCCCCCCTGCCCCGAGGCCACGCCCTCCACGCCCCGAGGCCCCGCCCTCCACGCCCCTGGCCCGCGGGCCCGTGCACCCTCGACCCCAAGGCCACGCCCCCCACGCCCGCCGCGCCCGGAGGCCCCTCGCGCTCCCCGCCCCGAGGCCCCGCTCCGGGCCTCCCGCCCCGCCCTCCACGCCCCTGGCCCGCGGCCCCGCGCGCCCCCCGCCCCGAAGCCCCGCCTTCTACGCCCCGAGGCCCCGCCCCCTGCCTCCCCGCCAGCGGCCCCGCCCCGCCCCGCCCGCCGCGCCCCCCGAGTCCCGGGTCCCCAGCCCGCGGTCCGCCGGCCCCCGCCGCAGCCGAGAAGTTCCTGCCCCGCGGGAGGCGAGCGGGGCGCGCGGGCGCAGGGACTGCGGACAGGCCAGGGCCCGGGGGCGGCGGGGCCGCCGGCTCGGAACTCCTCGCGGGGCCGGGATGACAGCGCCCGGACGGCGCCTGCGGTCCTCCCCGGCCCGGCTCACGGCGCCGTGATCGGGAGCGACCGGTGCAGACCGGCTCCGGGCACACCGGCTCCCGGGACACCGGCTCAGGGGCACTGGCCCTGGGCACACCGGCTCCGGGCACACCGGCTCCCGGGACACCGGCTCCGGGGCACTAGCCCTGGGCACACCGGCTCCGGGGCACTAGCCCTGGGCGCACCGGCTCCGGGCGCACCGGCTCCGGGCGCACCGGCTCCGGGCGCACCGGCTCCTGGGACACCGGCTCCGGGCGCACCGGCTTCGGGCGCACGGGCTCAGGGCGCACGGGCTCCGGGCGCACCGGCTCCGGGGTCACGGGCTCCCGGGCAGCGCCGATGACGAGCGCACAGACTCGGAGAAGACGGGAGCGCGGCCCGGGCTTCAGTCACCGGACGGCACACCGGCGCTCCGCGGGGAGGCCTGGGGCGCGGGCACGTCCAAGGCCCCGACCGCCTCAGACGCCACGGTCCCTGAGGCCAGACCTCACAGTCAGAACAGCCAGTCCTTCGGGGGTGTCGGTGCCCGGGGGATGGAGGGGCTGCGGCAGACAGGGAGCTGCTCCTAATCAGCTCCTCCTCGCTTCCCTGGAGGCCTGAGTCTGTGTCCATTCTGAGCAACTCTGAGCAGAGTGCCCACAAGTACTGACTGCCCTGGCCGGTGTGGCTCAGTGGATAGGGCACCAGCCTGTGGACTGAAGGGTCCATGGACAATCAGAAGGCAAGGCTGGCCAGGTGAGGGTTCCCAGACGCCAGAGCTCTCCGCCCAATGCCTGCTGAGACGGGATGGTAAGGGACAGAGGGGAGAGTTTGCTGATCTTAAATGTCAGCACTCCCGGCTTTAACCTGGGTTCCCCCTCTTCCCCCTCTCCCCCCACACACACACCCGGCAGACTGGGGTCCAGACAGGAGGGGAGAGGGTTACTCTGCACGTGCTGCCAAGGCATCTCTAAAGTTTATTTGTGGAAACTTCAGGGAGAAATCACTCCAGGCATTTCCAGGCGTCAGGAGGACATGGAAAAGTACACCTTCCTGCTGAGAGCTCGCTGGACCTCCCGTGCAGTCAGATAACTCCGACACGGCTCAGCCCGGCTCACGTAGCACTGTCCTCGGCGAGGCAGGCGGCGTTTTCAAAGTCACAGTGTCTTGAGATGCTATGGCTCAGTGGATAGAGCACCGGCCTTCGGACTGAAGGGCCCCGGGCACAATTCCTGTCAAGGGCACATGCCCAGGGGTTTTTAGACTATGTGGTTGTCTCTCATCATAGATGTTTCTGTCTCTCCTCCCTTCCTCCCTGAAATCAATACGAATATTTTTTTAAATAATAAAAAAAAAGTGGCTTGAAATGAAGGGCGAGTAAGATTAACTTAGATCTGTGGTGGGAGCACGCCCAGTGGACAGAGCCGTGGAACAGGGCCTGGAGCTTGACCACAGGGCCCGGGACTCAGTCCAACAGCCAGCTCAGACTTAGCACTTCCCACCAGAGCAGGGCCGATTCCGTTCCGAATGTGAGGTGTCCGGACTCACTCGGCCGAGTGTCTGCAGAGTCCCCTTTTATTAAACTGCCATGATTCTGCATAAGCAGGTGTGGTTTTGACTGATTCTATTCTTTCCATTGTCGTGCACGGCCGTGGGGCCGGTGTCCAGGGTATCAGAGGAAGATTCGTAGAAAGACGCGAGCAGCTCAGTTAATCCCCAGCTGAGGAAACGGCTCCTTCCCATGCTGCCCACCCAGCGTCACCTAACACAGTCTTTTTGCGATCGAGTGCGTTAAGTCTACCGCCAGGCCAGCATCTCTCGTCCTCCTCTCGACACGAGTTGGTACAGAGACAAACTCCCCTTATCCCGGGGAGTTGTGAAGAGAAATTACTCTTACTGTTGGTGCTGTCATGCTGTCCCTGCACGGCGGGTGACGCTATACAGAGAGCCAGGGCTGTGCTGACACCGGGCCCTGGAGCATCGGCAGGAGGCCCTCATCCCTCGAGACCGTGGAACCGAGTGAGTGCTCTGCGTAGCAGACAGAGCAGCGGCTCGGAAAACTAGGAGCAGAGGAAACCGTGGGGCCTCCTAAGGCCGTGGTCGGCAAACCGTGGCTCTCGAGCCACAGGTGGTTCTTTGACCCCTTGAGTGTGGCTCTTCCACAAAACACCACGGCCTGGGCGAGTCTATTTTGAAGAAGTGGCGTTAGAAGAAGTTTAAGCTTAAAAAATGTGGCTCTCCAGAGAAATTTTTTTTTTTTTTTACTTTTTTTAATATATATTTTATTGATTTTTTCCACAGGGAGGAAGGGAGAGGGATAGAGAGCTAGAAACGTCGATGAGAGAGAAACATCGATCAGCTGCCTCTTGCACACCCCCTACTTGGGGATGTGCTCGCAACCAACGCACATGCCCTTGACTGGAATCGAACCAGGGACCCTTCAGTCTGCAGACCAACGTTCTACCCACTGAGCCAAACCGGTTTCGGCTCCAAAGAAATTTCAATCGTTGTCCTGTCGATACTTGGCTCTGCCGACCACAGTCCTAAGGAGTTCCTCAGCTGCGGTGAGAAATGAGGCGGATCCAGAAGAGAAGGTGGGATGTGAGGCCCTAACCTAAGGAAAGGCCAGGAGGAAAGATGAGGACCAGAGGAACTGATCGGTCTGGGAGGTTAACACCTGAGAGAGGGCGTTGAACCAGCGGGACACAGAGCATGAGAGCAAAGCCCCAACGTGGCTTGGAGCTCTCTGGAGCCAATGCAAAAAAAAAAAAAAAAAAAAAGTAAATACAACCCGTGGCCTGGTTCTCATTGTCTCTGGAGAGAAAGACGCACATCCCTCCATGGAAGCCCGCCTGCCAGACACTCTATCCGGGGCTCGGAATGCTTGTGGGAGCTCCACAGGAGCAGGGACCCGAGGGGCACGTCCGGTCCCAGCAGGAGTCCCAGTGGCCACCGGGAGCCCACGGCCACGGGTGCAGTGCAGACAGACAGGGCGGTGTAATGACCCCACAGCCAATGGAAAGCAGCAGGCACCCGCAGCCAGTCTGTCTGTGGCCCTCAGGCAGCGCTGGAATGAGGGGAGCAAGCCAGTGGGAGGGGGGCAGCGGCACACAGGAGGGCGAGGGTAACCCCCCTGACAGGGGCCGCCGACAGACATCTCGGCAGACAGCGCTTCTTCAGCCTGTCTCCCAGCGCCCACGACATCCTCGTTGTCCAGGAACAGCTGGAAAGCCAGATTTCTAGGTGAATTCTCCTGCTTTTTAAAACTTGTCAACTAGCCCATACCGGTTCCTGCGGGCTGAAAGGTCCCAGATTCGATTCCGGTCTAAGGGCATGTACCTTGGTTGCGGGCACATCCCCAGTAGGGGGTGTGCAGGAGGCAGTTGTTAGATGTTTCTCTCCCATCAATGTTTCTAACTCTCTATCCCTCTCTCTTCCTCTCTGTAAAAAATCAATAAAATATATTTTTAAAAAATAAAATAAAGCTTGTCAACTAGCCAGGTCCGTGTGGCTCAGTGGTTGAGCATTGGCCTACGGACCAGGAGGTCACTGGTTCCCTTTCCAGTCATGATCTGTAGAGAGCCGCCAGAGAAGGCACGTGGACATTCTTTTCATTCTTATCAGCTGAGCCCGAGGGCACTGGCAGAATCCTGTTATCAGGACTGATTTCTTATCTTTTTCCATGTGCTTGGAATGAGGAACAAATAGGACCTTGACTTACCCAGATTTTGATATGTTAAATCTTATAACCAAAAAGAGAGGAACTTATCCAAATTTTTTTTTAAATAAATTTTTATTGTTCATATTATTACAAATGTTCCTTCCCCCCCCCTTCCCACCCACCCTCTGCCCTTTCCCCACCCTCCATTGTCCTCATCCATAGGTGCACAGTTTATGTTCAGTCTCTTCCCACATCCCCCTCTCTCCTTTTCCCCAAGAATCATCAGTTCACTCCCCTTCCATACCTCTGATTCTATTATATTCAACAGTTAATATTGTTCCTCAGATTTTTTTTTTTTAATTTCCTTGGTTTTTAGATACACTTGTTGATAGTTACGTATTTGTTGTTCATAATTTTTATCTTTATTTACTTTCTCTTCTGAAAGAACCCCCTTCAGCAATTCATATAATTCTGGTTTGGTGGTGATAAACTCCTTTAGCTTTTTTTTTTATTAGTGAAGCTCTTTATCTGACCTTCGAATCTGAGTGATAGCTTTGCTGGATAGATTATCTTTGGCTGTAGGTTCTTACTATTCATCACCTTGAATATTTCTTGCCATTCCCATCTGGCCTGCATGGTTTCTGTTGAGAAATCAGCTGACAATCGGATAGGTGCTCCTTTATAGGTG